TATATATATATATATATATATATATATATATAAATATATATATATATATATATATATATATATATATATATACATACATATATATATATATATATATATATATATATATATATATATATATATATATATATATATATATATATATATATATATATATGTATATATGTATATATATATATATATATATATATATATATATATATATATATATATATATATATATATATATGTATATATATATATATGTATATATATGTATATGTATATATATATATATATATATATATATATATATATATATATATATATATATATATATATATGTATATATATATATATATATATATATATATATATATATATTATATATATATATATATATATATATATATGTATATATATATATATATATATATATATATATATATATATATATATATATATATATATATATATATATATATATATATATGTATATACATATATTTATATATATATAAACATATATATATATATATATATATATATATATATATATATATATATATGTATATACATATATTTATATATATATAAACATATATATATATATATATATATATATATATATATATATATATATATATATATATATATATATATATATATATATATATATTTTTTTTTTTTTTTTTTTTTTTTTTTTTTTTTTTTTTTCTACTTCATTTCTTTTCTTGTTATTTTTTTTTTCTCATATAACTTTCTTGTTTTCTTTTTTATGTCATATTCTTTTCTCATTTTCCATGTTATTTTTTTATTTCTTCTTTTTCATACGATTTTCATTTTTTCATCCTCTTCTCTGATATATTCTTTTCATTTTTCCCCTTCTTCTTCTTCCTTTTCTTTTTCTTTATGGTATAATTTTCCCTTTTCCCTTGTTCCTCTTCTTCGGCCCCTTCTTTGTGCTATCCTTTTCCTTTCCGGGAAGCGTCTTCGCTAATTTGACCGGCAGTCTTAACTCTATTGCCGACATTACCGGTGATTTTGCTGCATAGAAAGTTCACTTCAAATTCAACAAGAAAGGGAAAGAAAAACATTTCAAATCACCTTTGATGAACAAGAAAGTTAGGGGGATTCCGAAGACACGGAGTCAGATAATGAGATTGAGACGCGGAAGTGGGAGGGAGAGAGAGAGAGAGAGAGAGAGAGAGAGAGAGAGAGAGAGAGAGAGAGAGAGAGAGAGAGAGAGAGAGAGAGAGAGAGAGAGAGAGAGAGAGAGAGAGAGAGAGAGAGAGAGAGAGAGAAGAGAGAGAGAGAGAGAAAGAGAGAGAGAAAAAGAGAGAGCGAGAGAGAAAGAGAGAGAGAGAGAGAAGAAAGAGAAGAGAGAGAGAGAGAGAGAGAGAGAGATAGGGGGGGGGGAGATAGAGAGAAAAAGAGAAAGAGGGACAGAGAAAGAGAGGCGAGGACAGAGAAGGAGAGACATAGAAAGAAAGAGAGACAGACAGACAAACAGACAAAGGGAGAGTAAGAAGTAGAGGAGGGGCAGTTAAGAAGAAAAAAGAAATAGAAGGATGAGACGAAATGACAGAAAGACAAAAATAAATAAAAAAGAAAGAGAGAGAGAGAACAAAAAATAAAGCTACAGACATAAGGAAGAACGGCTATCCATCACACCGGAAAATTAAACAAACATGAACCAACGAACCAAAAAAACAAACAGACATGAGATAAAAAGAGATAAAATAGCAAAAAGAAAAAAAAGAAAAAAAAATCACACTAACCCAACGCTCTCACCTTAATCCAGTAACCAAGAGGCGGAAATTCGAAATCACAAAGAGGCTCCGATCGCAATGCTCCTCCGGAAATAAGGTGTTTCCGTAAGACTAAGATTAGGGTCCGGTTGGCTGAGAGAGAGGGAGGGAGAGAGGGAGGGACGGAGGAAGAGGAGGGAGGGACGGAGGGAGAGAGGGAGGGACGGAGGGAGAGGACGGAGGGACGGAGGGAGAGAGGGAGGGAGAGGAGGGAGAGAGGGAGGGAGAGGAGGGAGGGACGAAGGGAGAGAGGGAGGGAGAGGACGGAGGGACGGAGGGAGAGAGGGAGGGAGAGGAGGGAGAGAGGGAGGGAGAGGAGGGAGGGACGAAGGGAGAGAGGGAGGGAGAGGACGGAGGGACGGAGGGAGAGAGGGAGGGAGAGGAGGGAGAGATGGAGGGAGAGGAGGGAGGGACGGAGGGAGAGGAGGGAGGGACGGAGGGAGAGGAGGGAGGGACGGAGGGAGAGAGGGAGGGAGAGGAGGGAGAGAGGGAGGGAGAGGAGGGAGGGACGGAGGGAGAGGAGGGAGGGACGGAGGGAGAGAGGGAGGGACGGAGGGAGAGGACGGAGGGACGGAGGGAGAGAGGGAGGGAGAGAGGGAGGGAGAGGAGGGAGGGACGAAGGGAGAGAGGGAGGGAGAGGACGGAGGGACGGAGGGAGAGAGGGAGGGAGAGGAGGGAGAGATGGAGGGAGAGGAGGGAGGGACGGAGGGAGAGGAGGGAGGGACGGAGGGAGAGGAGGGAGGGACGGAGGGAGAGAGGGAGGGAGAGGAGGGAGAGAGGGAGGGAGAGGAGGGAGGGACGGAGGGAGAGGAGGGAGGGACGGAGAAGGGGAGAGGAGGGAGGGACGGAGAGAGAGAGGGAGGGACGGAGGTAGAGAGGGAGGGACGGGGGGAGAGAGGGAGGGAGAGGAGGGAGGGACGGAGGGAGAGAGGGAGGGAGGGAGAGGAGGGAGGGACGGAGGGAGAGAGGGAGGGAGAGGAAGGAGGGACAGAGGAAGAGAGGGAAGGAGAGGAGGGAGGGACGGAGGGAGAGAGGGAGGGACGGAGGGAGAGGAGGGAGGGACGGAGGGAGAGAGGGAGGGACGGAGGGAGAGGAGGGAGGGACGGAGGGAGAGGAGGGAGGGACGGAGGGAGAGGAGGGAGGGACGGAGGGAGAGAGGGAGGGAGAGGAGGGAGGGAGAGAGGGAGGGAGAGGAGGGAGAGGAGGGAGGGACGGAGGGAGAGAGGGAGGGAGAGGAGGGAGGGACGAAGGGAGAGAGGGAGGGAGAGGAGGGAGGGACGGAGGGAGAGAGGGAGGGAGAGGAGGGAGGGACGGAGGGAGAGAGGGAGGGAGAGGAGGGAGGGACGGAGGGAGAGAGGCAGGGAGAGGAGGGAGGGACGGATGGAGAGAGGGAGGGACGGAGGGAGAGGAGGGAGGGACGGAGGGAGAGGAGAGAGGGGCGGAGGGAGGGACGGAGAGAGAGAGGGAGGGACGGGGGGAGAGAGGGAGGGACGGAGGGAGAGAGGGAGGGACGGAGGGAAGGAGAGGAGGAAGAGAGGGAGGGAAGGTGAGGAAGAAAGTAGGTGGGAGGGAGACAGAGGAGGGAAAGGTGATAAGAAAAGTGGGGAAGAGAGTAGATGGAAGGGAAAGAAGGAGGGAGGAGGAAGGAGCGAGGGAGATGGGAAAGGTATGGAAGAGAAAAGGTTTAAGGGAGGGAGAGGAGAGAGAGAGAGAGAGGGAAGGTGGGGGGAAGGTCAGAGAGAGAGAAGGAGGGAGGGAGGGAGTGCGTGAGGAAAGGTGAAAGGGAAGGAGGGAGGGAGGAGAGGTGGAAGGAGGAGGGAAAGAAAGAAGGAGCAAAAGATAAGGACTGAGAAAGGGAGGGAGAGAGGTGGAAGGGAGTGAAGGTGAGAGGAGGAAAGGAGGGTAGGATGGAGGGAAAGACAGAATGATGAAAGGATAAGAAGGAAGTAAGGGAAGGAGGGGGAGGGAGATAGAAAGGAGAGAGGTGTAGGAAGAGCAAGAAAGAAGGGAGGGAGAAGGAGATGGGAGAGAGGGAAGGGTAAGAAGGACAAGAGAGGCAAAGAAGGAAGGTGAAAGACGTAAAGGAGTGAGAAAAAGAAAGAGGAAGAGAGAAAAAAGGTAAGGAAAGTGAAGGTTAAAGACAGGAAAGATTAGGAAGGGAGGAAAAGGAGGAGAAGCAGGGGGATTAAAAGGGAGGAAAAGGGAGAGACGAGCTGGGAAGGACGAGAACTAAGAGAAAAACGGGAGGGGATGAATACAAAGACAGACAGATAAATAAAGAGAAGAAGGCAACCACACAAATAACAATAATGATAATAACAATAATAATAATGATAATACTACTAATAATAATGATAATAATAATTATAATAAAAATAACAATAGATTAAAAAAGCAACACAGACAGAATTTTTTAAAATCACATTTAACCAGAGAAAACTAACAGCAGACAGACAGACAGAGAGAAAGAGATAGACTTGACACAAATGTCTGGATTTAGCGAACAAGAGGTCTACTACCCACCCACAGCCTCGAGTCAATAGCAAGGGATTAAAACTTTAATCTCGTTTAGGAATAACCTTTGGCAAGGCGGGTGGCAGGCGGATGGGTCGGTTTCAGGGATTGGTGCTTGTTTATCGACTTGTTTATTTGTTTGATGCGTTGATTTGCTGTTTGTGTTGTTTAGTTTGTTTGTTTGTTGTTTGGTTTGTTTGTGTGGTCGTCAGGCTGATCGTTCCTGGCTTCCTTTTGTCTCTCTGTCTATTTGTCTATCTGTGTGTCTGTGTGTAAGGAGTCTGTAAAAATAAAATGGTTAGAAAAATGTCTTTTAGAATATGTGTACACGTTTTATCAGTTGATATTGGTATAGTAACTAACGATGATGATATTGATCAACGTTAATGTTAGTAATGACAATGATGATAGTGATGGTGATAATGATGCTGATGCTGATGCTGGAGGCGGTGTTAGTGATGATAACGGTTATGATATAAACAAAATAACATCCTGCTGACTGTTTCATGTATATTCTCAATAGATAATCGATCTCACACCAAACAACCGCTTTATCACTCTCATCCATTCATACTTTCCAAAACACCAATTCATCACAGTCGTCCTCTTCATGCCATACTAAACACCTCATTTATCATTTCCTCTCCATTCCCCTCCCACGAACCACCCTAACCTCCTCCCACTCTTTCCCACCAGGTCGTCCCACGCCAGTCGTACAGTGGCTGGTCAACGACGAAGTGAGGTCGTCCCAAGAATCCCGCTCGCCTCCTGGAGTGATCAACACGACCCTTGTTGTCCCAAGGCTCTCAAGGAACGACCTGCACGCCGTGTTCGAGTGTCGTGCGACTAACTTTAACGACTCGGCTCCCATCTCGTCTACGGTCACTCTGGACATGAACTGTGAGTGGAAGTGAAGGAAGTTCGCTTTTGTAAAGTTAGGGATTTTTAGGAATGTGAGGGAGTGGGTGTGAATGAAGGAAGTTGTAGTAAAGCTTACATTTTTGTATGAATGAGAGTCAGTAGACAGGAATGACTGTGGTAAATATGAATGGGCGTCAAGGAAGCAGATCTCGTGAATGAGAGTGAGTGGAAGTGAAGGAAATTCGCTGTAGTAAAGGTTTACATGTTTTATGAATGACGGTGAGTGGACGTGAAGAGAATTTGCCATAGTAAAATTAACCATTTTTATGAATGGGAGTGAATCGGCGTGAACGAAATTCGTTGCAGTAAAGCTTGCAATTTTTAGGAATGGGATTGCAGGCGTATATAAAATTCGACTTGGTAAAGTTTTCGATTTTTATGAATGAGAGTAAGTAAGCACGAATGGAGTTCGTAGTATAAAAGCTTACTTTTTATGAATGGGAGTAAATAGGTACGAAAGATTACAGTAAATGCCGCGCGACACAATGAAATTCGAATACGTTTTATTGAAGCTCATGTTATATGACGCACAGATGGCACTGTGTAG